AGCTCCGACGGGGGGCCATTCGCGCGCGTCGTCTCCGCCTTTGCCCACTTGCGCTTGCTGCACTTGTGGTTCTTTAAGTGAAACTTACCGATCAGGAAAGGAAATGTGTCTGGCTACGGAAGAACGCTGCGTGGTTCTTGTGCACGTGCTGTTCAACATGGCATGCGTCATCGTGGAACAACACATCAGCGCGGACGTTTGGCAGCCTCATGACTGCCTTGACGACGCGCAGCTTGTCCGCCATATTCTCGCTGTGGGAATGCTCAGTGGCCCCCAACAGTAGCCGAGATTGCGGATCAAGAACAAATTGCCACCCAGCAGTGTGTCCGCGCATCGCTGGGCGAACCTTGTCCTTGTTGGCGCACGAAGCAGTCCTCTCGTCCTCCCTGTATGCCAATTTCCTCTTCCGTCCGCGCGCTGCGGCTGGCTCTGGGACGCCCACGCCGTCCTGAAGATCACGGCGAACACCGAAATCCCAGTCGAAGGCCTGCGCGCGCACCTCGTAGGAAGGGGGGTGCGTTAAAGTTCTCTTCGCATTCCATTGCTATTCTGCAGGGTATTCCGCATCGAAAGGAATCACGCCCGTCGGGGACCGACGGGTCACGGATAATCCCTCCAGCGCGTGAAGCAAGTGGTCACGAAGCGAAATGCGACTCAAGAGCTCGCCCTCCTTGGAGCACCGTTGCTCATGGACGAAAAGATGCCGCGCGGCTGCTTCCTGCCCAGGGGCGTTCTTGGCTCGCAAGAGCCGCAGGCGCGCCAACGCCAAGTTGTCGCACGTGAAGCCACGTTTCTCTGTAAGAAAATCTACTCCGCGAGCCCCCACCTCTTCGAAACCCGGAACGTTGCACTTCCGTTCCTGCTGCCAACCAGAATTCGGTCGGAAGGATGCGCCGCAATTGCGGCTGCAACGCCTCTTTCGACTCGTCCAAGCCGTTGTGGCGGCATCGCTGCCCAAGATGGCGCACTCGGCTTTCTTGTCTGGCGCCTTCAAAGGACAGCCGCAGAACGCGCGCTGCTTCAATTTCGCAGCGTAACTCTTGCCAGCTGCCCCGCCCAACCTGTCGAAGGGGTCCGTCGAGAACGACGCCTTGTGCTTCGACCCCGCATTATTCAAGTGCTCGTCCAGATCACCCAGACTGGACTGATGGAGCCTCAAGATGGCCCCGTCCAGCATGAGAGCATTCACGTAGCACTCTGGAACGTTTCCCCCCAAACCGCCAGCGAAGTCGTTCATGATCTCTTCCACGGCAGCAAGCGCAAAGTGGAGGCGAGACGCGCGAGGGTTGGGCCGATCAGCGAAGCGGCGCCTCAAACATTCAAAACGAGGCATGCCCAACGCGATATCCACGGCCGCGTGAAGCTGCACTGAACGATTCTACAGAAACGGAATGTTATTGGACGGCCTGCCCAAATGGACCAACCGAATCAACATCTTCTTAGCTGCTTTCAATGGCACCTCGCAGCGCTGCATTAGAAACTCTCGCCAATGCTTGAAATTCGCGACGAAGCTAACGAGCACTTCAACATCAGCTAGGTCTGCCACGGTGTCTCTGAGCAGATTGACAAATATTGCGGGATAGCACTTGTTGATATCCGCGTCGGCAAAAATCAAGCCGCCCCCCGCCGACGACCCGACTTCGGTCGCCATGGCAATTCTCTTGGCCTCTCTGCTCAAATGCGACTGCATTGACGGCGCTGCCGCGTGCCATCTGCCTGGTATACCGTGCCTGCTGTAATAGGAAACCTTCATCACACCGACATCGCCGACTCTGCGGCCGCGCGCGCGGTAGGCCTCCAGGAGCTGCCGTATCTGCGGCACCTTGGAAGAAAAGGCTTCCTCTTCTAAGCCCTGGGCGAGCGCGGTGAAGTTAATCCATTCATCGACTTCGCATGCGAGCTTCTGTTCGCCATCCAACTCTCTGCTGTCTGCTGGCTCTGGCGCCACGGGGGCCAGTGACGGAAACTTGCTTTTGCACTCCCACACAAGTGACCATTTCTCAAATCCCCCGCCGAACACGCATGCGTCGTGCTTGTTCAGGATCTCGGAAAACCTGTCGCAATTGAGGTTGAGGAAATGCAGCTCCCGCGGGCGTCAACGCAGAAACATGCAACAATCGCAGCATACGTGCACCACCTCTCTCGCGCGCATGCGCGCAGTGCAAACGCGCAGCCACAATGCGCGCGCAGCGTCGACGCGCCATGGGGGCAATGAGAGCGCGCGCCACATGCAATCATTCTCGCTTCCACCAACTTCCGCGGCCTCCCGCCAGACTTCCACCCCATGGGACGTGGGGGGGAGCGGAGCAGCTTCACGCCATCGAAGTTCCGCGGGCTTCCGCGGCCGTCCGCCAAGCTTCCACCGACACCATTGCTGCCCTCGGCCGAGGGTTCGAAGCCCGCGCATACATTGCCCCCGCGCATGCCCCTGCCCCGCCAGAACATGCGATACAAGTACTGCATGGCCATTGCAAATTTCATGCGTTGGTTCCTTGGGCTGCTCTTGCGGCCGCCATGGGATTATCCAGCCGGGTCGGCTTTCCTTTGGCCCCAGGCCTGTAAGCACCAGGCACGTTTTTCAACATTGAGTTGGCCTGGTACATCTTTATTGTTGTCTTGCCAGCCGCGTCTCTGTGGGCAGTCTCAACGATTGCTCTGGCCTCGCGCGCCCTCTTGAAGTCCTCAGCTGAATTCGCAAACTCTGATGGCATCTCGAGGCCACCATTGGCCATCTGAGCAACGACCCTCCGAGTCTCCTCCACAATCGACTCGTCTGGGTCCAGCAGCATCTGGCGGCAGCTGCTGGCAGCGTGGCCCTGGATGAACGGCCGCGAGAATAATTTGATGTAAGCGAGACGAGTCTGGTCGCCCTCCAAGAAGGACATCAAGTCTGCATCTTCGCGGAACACAGCGCCGTCGACATTGATCGACCCAACGTTGCTGGTGAACGCAGACCTGAGAACAACAACTCTGTGGCGTCACTGCCTGTTCGTCTCCCAATATTTGGCAAAAGTCAGCCACCGATAGCATTGGGTCGTCTTGCCGAAGATGGGGCCGACAAGCAATGAATTCTCCATTCTCCAGGTGCAAACTTTTTTTCCAAATTTCTTCCAACAATGCAATGCCAGCCGCGCCTTCTTGGACAGTGAGGCTCTTTGCGTAAGCAAGCTGTCCACCTTGTTTCCTGAACTCCTGCGGCTCCTGGAATACGTCTGCCGCGAGGGCGCCATGGCGCCCGCCGAATACGCGATTCCGCAGCACTGTCCTGGCGGACTTGGAACGGCCCCCGTTCCCCGTCAGCATGGCCATCACGGGCGGCGCCGGAACCCCCGCCCACGCCAGCGCCTCCATCGCGAGGTCTATCTCGCGCCCAGGCTCTTTGCCAGCAAAAGATGTTGCTAGGAAAAGAGCGAGCTTATCCGCGACATCTTGGCCTTGTTCTGGTACGATGCTGATTGGTATTCCAAAATAGCATCGATTTGCCCTTACCTCCGGAATCTGCGCGATCCTGTCTGCGGCTCGCTCAGCGCTGTCGTCGATCTTAACAGCGCAATCTTCGAACGCAGCGGAAACGAAGGGCGGGTCTGGCTTAGGGGAGTGAAACCAGGAGCCGAGTATATCCACGAGCTTCTCAATAGATCCACGAGCTTCTCCGCGAATCGACAGATGACATGCTGGCGCCCCCTGCGGGCGTCGAACGCCCAGCCAGCAATTCGATCTTTCTTCACTTGTAGATCTGAGGAGCACACAGGTCGAGCCGTTGCCCAATTCCCCACATCGATCTCCAGGAACTGGAACACGTTAACTAAGTCGCGCGGGGCGCTCCCGTGCATGATGCGAAGTAGAACAACTTTGGTAACGGACAACGCCAGTTCAATATTGTACATGTACGCCGTGGGGAGATCTTCCAGTCGCCCGAACGACCCCTGCCGGTATAAATCGACGCCGTCTGGACGCGCAACGGCGTCGTCAAGTGCCAAGGCAGCGATGCGCGCAACGAGGAGGTCGTTGGTAGGGTTCCAGTGCAGCGGCCCCATGACGCACATCGCTATTACTCTTAAGCAGAAGTATTCAAGGTCCGATGGCCGCGTGTCCCACGTCTGCAACAATTCGTTCGTCTTGTTAATCACTTGCGACACCGCGGCCCTTAGGTCGAATTTCGAGGGCCCCACGTCATCCACCAACGCAGGCCCTGGAAACACCTGGAGACGCCTGAACTTCTCCGGCCCCCACTTGTCCAGCATCCGCCGCTTGGTCTCCGCGGTGTACAATTCGCCCGAATCCATGCCGCCCAGAGTATCCAAGGATCGCGCCGTCGAAGTTCTTCCATCGGCGCTGCATTCCAGAGGGGCGTCGCCGTTTCTGGTGCTCTCTCCATCGGGCCCAGCGCCGTCGAGGAAGGCAACGACGCCGTGGACGCGGCTCGACCGAGGATGAAACAAGTCATCATCGCGCAGCAGTGCATCAAAAGGCTCGTCACTTAGATCGGTGTCGCCTGAATGGCGAGAAGCTTCCTCGGCGTTGCATAGGCGCTGCAAGTGAGCGCCAAGCGCGCGCCTGTCGATCAACGGGTCAATGTCCAGTGAACGTGGCGAAGAGCGCCTGTCCGAGTCTGACTCTGCATCCGTCGCGCCGGCTTGCTCTGACACATCCTCGATGTCGACGACGCGGTATCAAGTGGCATCTGCCCCAAAGAATTCTTCGAGAGGCCTGATCGGGCCGTCGAACTGGCGCCGCTCGTCGCCATCGATGACGTCGCATCCGTCCTCGAGTACTTTCACGGCAATGAAGTGAAAGAAGACGTGCGCGACACATTTAGCTGGGCCCACATCGTGGTCTGGCCTCTGAACGCGCTGCAGTGCCTCGCCGAAAATAGAGAGGAAGCGATTGCCGTCTCGGAGAGCCCAGTGGGGCCCAGCCTCATTAATCGCGAACGTGTAGCCAAGGTTTTGCAAGGCTTTCTGGAGGCACACACGGGCGAAAAGGCTCCTTGCGAACGCCAATCGGCCCGCAAATGGCGTAGACGAGTGCCGCGAAGAACAGGCGCGCGGGGGGCGCGATCTCAGGGAATGCATAGCTCGCCGCTGGGCGCCTCGTCTTCGCCGCGGCCCTGGGCAGGTCGTCGATGTCAAACATCTTCAGCGAAGGATTCTCGACCTCGTCGCAGCGCTCATCGGCGTCGCTCAGCGTGTCGGGGCGCGTGCTGGGGGGCGGCGCTGCCTGGCGGCCATGGTTCGGGCGCGTAGTGGGCACTGCGCTTTTTCCTGACGCGGTAGCTCTCACCGTTGAACATCGCGAGCAACGAGGGCTCCATGAAAGCTGCGCTCTGGCCAATCACGATGACTTTCATGTCGAATATGACCTTGCCCTTGCGCGGGCCCAGGCGCCGGCGCTTCTTCGCTGCAAAGTGCACGGTCGACCCCGCCACGTGACCAGGCAATTGCGGCTCGACACCTACCTCGCAGCCACTGGGCGCTTCGGCAAGCGCCTGGTTTCCCTTTCTGCCATCTCTTCTGGCGGCGGGTAGATATCGAGTTCAACGTCACGTGGTCCCCCTTGCCCTTAAATGACGCGATCAGGCAATCCTCAGCGCAGCCGCTGCTGGGGCCGATGACGTAGCCGCGCATGCCGCAGCTGGCGTCTTTGACAGCCCAGCACACTGGCTGGCCCACTGCGCGTCCGCGAAGCGATCGTTGGGGAAGATCCACGTCGCCTGGGGCTGACTCCGCAAAGCGTACCTTTTTCTGGCCACGCTGCTCCTCGTCAATGAAACCGTCAATGAAGCCGTTCTTGACCTTGACCATCCACTCGACGGCGCAGAAGCCCTCGTTGTACGAGGACATCTGGAGGCGCATCAGAAACCCTGGGGGCAGCGTGCAAAACGCGACAGAGCGCCAGTGCAAACTTGAGCCAGGACGACTACGGAACTACCAGATCCCAGTTGGGTGCCCTCTCGAGTCCCTTGTTGGGTTCTTATTAGCCCCTCTCTTTGCACCCTGTTCCATCTGCGTTTTCCTGCGCCCCTTGTTGGGCTGCCCTCCCAAAGCTGATTGACGGCACCCTTGTTTGGGACCTCTTCAAACATCGCTGCATTTATCAAACGACACCCCAAAATGTTTGACGGCATCCTCGTTTGGGATGTCCTCCAACATCGCTGCGTTGAGGGCACCCGTTTTTGGGGCGCTCCTTATCAACAACATCCCACACTGATTGACGGCACCCTTGTTTGGGATGCCCTCAAACATCGCTGCGTTGAGGGCGTCCCTTTTTGGGACGCCCCTTATCAGCAACACCCCAAACTGTTTGGCGGCACCCTTGTTTGGGATGCCCCGCAAACGAAGGAGTGCGGCCTGGCGAGAAGAAGTGGGTTCGAAAGGCGGTCGCCCGTCGCGGGAGCACAGAAACGGACGTGCCGCCAGGTTGAGGTTGGTGCGATTTCATGTTGCCTGTCCTCAAGTCGTCGGCTTGCTGTCGGTACTCGAGAGCCTGAGCCCGCAGCTTCGCGGCAGCTTGGCGCCCTGCCTTCAGTAGGACCGCTCGTGCCCGCGGCTGTTTGCGGAACCTCTCCACCCGTTTCTTCGCCAGCCGCTCGTTGTTAGCGTCGAGCTTCTCCCTGTACTGCTTGGATCCCCAGAGGGGGTTGCCCATGGCCGAAGACGGTTCTGAAGCGTGGCCGCAGAAGAGCGTGGCCGCAGAAGAAAACTTGAACATATATGCGTATTACAGGCACAATAACAATGACTATGATGCTTAGGTTAACGATGACGATGATAATGATTGCGATGCCGACGATGGCGACAAATAGTAGTTAACGATGGGTACGATAACGATCTAATTGCGAAGAGAACTGGTGATGAGGATTATGATGAATATGCTGATGCATATGATGATGATTATGATGATGATGATGATGATGCTGATGATGATTATGATGATGATGATGATGATGATGATGATGATGATGATGATGATGATGATGATGATGATGATGATGATGATGATGATGATGATGATGATGATGAAGCGGATGCGCAAATTATGAGACAGGAGGGCCCCACAGCGTTCCCTCTCCCACCGTGCCCTCTGGCGCGTTCAGGCGTGGCTGCAGCGGCTGTCTGGCAGGGTTCTGTAGTTTTCTACGGCCGGCAGACGGTCGCTTGCATCGCCTCCCACACGAACCCTTGCAAAAGCGATTGGCCCGTGCTCACGGAGCCACGATCCCTCGTACAAGAACTATGGCTCCGCGCTCCCGAGGCCACTGTCCTGTGAAAGAATGGAGAACGAAATGGCCCCGCGCTCCTGAGTTTCGAGCCAGGCAACGAAGCCGCCCAGATGGCCCAAAATGCCTCCAAGACGGCCCAAGATGAGGCCCGCGGTGGCCCCCAAGACGGCCGCCCACGAGGCCCCCAAGACGACGCTGTTTATCAGGAGCTGCCCGCACTTTTTCTTCCGATTCGTTATGTGTTGCTTGCTGGTGCGTTGAGTTGCAAGGTGTTCTGCAAGTCGTTATGAAGACCCGCTGCAATAATGAATGCCACGGTAATGTGTCAGCGCCTTCTGCAGAACTGGGGATCGTCCCTGAGATCTGGGCGTTGCGAATTTTTCGCGCTGGGCGTTGCCGCGTTGTTTCGGGCACTGGGGCCGTCGCAGGCCGATCGGGCTCGGGAAAAAAATGCCGCGGGAAGACGGGGTCTAGGACTCTGGTCGCGATGTTTGACCATGGTGCGTTGTTTCGCGACGCAAATAAGATCTCAAGGGTTGGCGCGAAGGGAACAGGCCCTGAGAGACGGGTCCTGGACTCGAGTTTGCCGACAGCGGATTTTTCATGCATCGTAAACTCGTTTCTGCAACGGGAAAAACAATCAGGAGCCTGCTCTCGCAATGCTTCCGCGTTTCCTCTTTGCCCCCCCACCCCATGGCCTGCCTCGCGAGTTCACGGGCGGGGCCTGGCGAGCCGGCGCGCTTCTGCGACGCAAGGGAAGTAAGGCAGCTTTTCCCTCTTGGCGAGATCCCGCCGTTGGGGCCCGCGCCCCTATTGCGCCCCCTGCTGGCCTGGATGGTGCGTTCAAGCCGCAGGGGGGGTGGGGGGCGGGGCGGGGTCTTCGCCCTCTCCCCAAGCAGCGATTTGCCTTGGGCTCCGCTGGTGGCCGCTCGCGCTCGTTGCTCGTGGTTCTGGCCGCCGCGAGTGGCCCCCCTCATTGCCGCGCCGCGGGCTGCCCGCGCTCCTCGCCGCCTCGCGGGCTCGAGCGCGGTCGCCAGCGCGGCCGCAGCCTTCGCGGCCAGCAGCGCGTCTGTGGAGAAGCCTCTGGCGCGCGACGCTCTTCCGCGGTTCCCGGAAGGGGGCTAAGCGTGTCAACGTGTCATCGGCACTCGCGGTCGCCTTCCCTCGCAAGGGCGCCCTGTGCACGACCGCCAGGCCGAGCGCGCGCGGCGGGGGCCCATGCCGCCGCCCCCAATGAGCTCCGGCATGGCGCGCGGCGCTCCCCGATGCGAGCCTCGGCCTAGCATGCTCCCTGAAAGCAGCTGCGCCTGAATGCCCCCTATGATAGGAGCGGCGCCGCCAACTCCCCCGATCGGGAAGCTCCAGCACGCCAACTTCCCTCATAGGGAGCTCCGGCACGCGGGCCATGCTCCCTGAGAGAAACCTCTTGCTGACAATGCTCCCTGAGAGGAGCGGCGCCTGAATGCCCCTGACAGGAGCGGCGCCGCAAACTTCCCCGATGGGGAGCTCTGGCACGTCAACCCCTCCTGGTTGGGAACTCTGGAACGCCGTGCCCCCTGAGAGGAGCCTCTGGCTGGATCTGTCCTGCAAGAGTGTCCTGCACCCCGCCCTGGGAAAGCCTTGGATCTGTCCTGGACGATTGTCCTGCACTGGCATCTGTCCTGGAACAGTGAACTGGCGCCGCCCCGGAAGAATGTCCTGGATCTGTCCTGGAGGGGTGTATGGGATGAGTGTCCTGCACTTCGCCATGAAATCCGCCCTAGGAGAACGTCTTGGATGAGTTATGAATGACTGTCTTGGGATCCGCCCTGGATCTGCCCTGGAAGAGTATCCTGGACCCCGCCCTGGGAGAATGTCCTGGATCTGCCCTGGAAGAGCGCCCCGGATCTCGCCCTGGCATCTGTCCTGGAGCAGCGCCCCGGCGCCGCCCCGGAAGCGTATCCCGGGTCTGTCCCAGGAGAATGCCTTGCCCCCCCCCCGCGCCCCCCTTGGCGCTTTCTTCCGACCGACCGCCCACGCGCCCCCCCCCTCTCCCAAGCGCCCCCCCCCCCCCCACGGAGTGTTATTCCGACCGACCGTCCGACCTGCCGCTGGCGCCACCTCCCCGCCCCGCGCGTGCCCTCGCGGCGCCCCCTCGGGTGCCCAACTCCGACCGGCCGCTCCGTCCCCCTCCACCGCCCGCGGCGCGCCCCCCCCTCCCTTTTCTGGTGCTTCGTTCCGACCGACTGTCTGGACCCCCACCCCTCCCCCAGGCGCACGCCCCCCCCCCTGGAGGGTTATTCCCACTGACCGACCGACCGGCCCGCGTCGCCCCCCCCCCCCGTTCCGCACTCTCCATCCCTCCCTCCTCCATCCCTCCCTCTCCCCACCGATACTCCATCCATCTCCATCCTCATACCCTCGACGGTTCCACCAGCTCCCGATGTTGGGTTTTCTCCCTCCCTCTACATCTCCATTCCTTCCCCCATCCCTCCCTCCTCCCTGCATCCCTCCCTTCCCTCATTCCATCCTCCCCCCTTTCACAGACACTTTCAGCACCGCCCTCGTCGAATCCACCCTCCACCAATGCTGTGCTGCAGTGAATTGGCGTTGCGCTACCCGCTCGTTTATCGGCATTGCGGCACGCTGGATTGATTCGTCGAGGACGCTTTCATGAAAAATCGGCTTCATCTTTACTACGTATGCCATCGTGTTCCAACTGGAGGCCAGCATTTCGCGCCATAGCTGGCCTCCTCATTGGAACACGCCCCGCTGAAACCTCGCAGCCTTCAGATCGAAATCGCCTGCAGCATTCAATAAGACATGCTGCAGGTCGTCGTTGGCATGCGCCCGCTCACTGGGGTGTCGCATCTTTCGAGATCTTGCCCAATTCTGTCCTGCCTTGGCGCAATCGTCATCCCCGATTGCTCCGCACCCCAGACATGCGACGTCCTGATTTTTTCAGGACGGCGTCCCTTGACGTCCCGACCCTTTGCCCCAGGCCGGTTTGTCATCCTGAATTGTTTCTTGACGGTCCAGGGGCCCTGCGAGGGCCTCCAGGGGCGAAAAATTGCGAAAAACATTCGTCCTGATTTTTGTTACGACGCGATCATGTCTGGGATGCTATCCTTCCTTAGCGCCATCGCCATCCCCGATTGCTCCGCGCCCGTAGTTGTATGATCCTTGGCTCGCGTGCCTCTTGTTCCAGAGGGCGGGGGGGGCCGCCGAATGATAGCGTTCGCACCCCAGTCTGATTCAATCATGCCTCAGGAATCAGGCAGGAACCCTCAGAAATCATTCAGGCATCACTGTGAAATCCTCAGGAATCAGCAGGGATCTTCCCGAATCCTCAGGATTTGTCAAGGAATCCTGGAAGAATCCTATTGGAATGCGCTTGGAGTCTTGCTGGCATCCCAGTCTGATCTTGGTGGGATCCCGCACTGAGGGTTGGGGGCGGGATGTCAATTCCAGGGGCTGAACAGTGATCAATTTCCTCCGACAGGGCGGGGTCGATAGTTGCATCCCGCGGTGAAGCTATGTGGTATAAACTATGTGGTGACAGCTGAGATGCCGTGCAAGCTCAGAGCACGGGGCGCCCACGAGGCGCCCACGAGGCGGCAACGTGGCGCAACTTCGGCGCAC